GATATTAAAAATATATTTATATTTGTTACTGTGCTTTACATTTTCTAGAGACAACTGACTGCAGCCAAGTCAGACTGCTTTCAAACATCCTTCAAGAACACCCATGATAAACAGTAATGTGTTGTACAATAATATTTAGCTCAATAATTGGCCATATATATGATGATGGGTACATGGAATTATATTGCCAAGTGATATCATGGCTTCTTAGTTTGTAAAGGCCTCTGCTAAATCGATGAAGTCATATGAAATCAAAACTCTCCAAGAGTATCCCAAGTTATAGAGTCCCACAGGAGTATCTTAAATGGATAGTAGAGTCTGGAGGCTTTGCTAAGATTTTGAGATGAAATGGTGAACAAATTCCAACTTTCAAAGCATTTACATTCTAGGAGAAGTGACAAACAAAAAGAATCAAACAACCTTAGCTGATAGGAAGTGAAAAAAACACAACTTAAGGGAAAGGTAGCAGCTGCTAAGCAGTAGCAATTTTGGATGATTGATGAAATGTTAGACTGTCGTGAAAGTTTCTGTACCAGTGATCTGTGCCAAAAACAAAGGAAGGAAAACATTTTAGGAAGAGGCTAAATGAGATATGTAGGCCTTTGGGACAAGCATGGCTATGGCATAGAACACAAAATGTAGGATAACATATAGGTGAAAGGTGGGTGAGATCCTATATAAATAGCCTGGGGAATTTAGGCAAAGGGAAGGGATAAGGTGTTGGTAGAAATGCAAGATCTGTGCTTTGGCTATGCTATATTCAGACAGGCAAGGAGTGGTCAAGGCAGGATAGACAGAGGCTGGTCAAGCTCACCAGGGAATTTATAAGTTCAGGGTACATCTCTAGATTTATCAGAAGGAGGAATGTCAGAAAAGAAAGCTGGGAAGGAAATGTTAAGGGCATGCTGCCCTGTTTTAATTTATTCCACATTGTATAAAACAGTTGCCCTGCCCTGAGGAACTCCATTTCATGAGTAGTTTTTGGCTCCATTTTGAAGATGGAGGAAGCCTGTGTCCTTGGATGCATATACATACAGCACCATCTATTTGGCATAGGCTGACAAAGGACTTGTTCCTGGAGTAAAAAAGGTACCACCTTACAAATTTATCGGGGTATATTAAATTACACCAGCAAAACTGGGCCTAAGAACTTATTAGATACACCAGACAAGAAAGGGCCCAGAGGTAGAAACCCAGAACTGCAATGGTAATATCCCCTCTAACCTGTCACCTGACACACTAAGGGCTAGCAGACAGAGAATTCCTGACTATCCTCAAGTTTCAACTCAGTCCCCACATTCAACTTCCTTCTGCCCATAAGACTGAGACCTGCCATTCATCCCTCTGGTTATTCCTTCCTCTAGACCTAGCCTGTCCTTTAGCCCCTGCAGTTAAACTCAACTCCACACTCCCCTCTCAGACCTGCAGCTGACACCTGTAGCTGAAATGACAGCTGCTTCTTCAGCTTATTCCCTGCAGCTAGGCTTGGGTTCCTCAGTTTATCAATACAGACTTCATTTACATTTCTATCAGCCTCCTTCTGAAAAGCTCTTGATTTTAACCTGTTGTGACCACTCTTTAATCTACATACACACATAGAGAGAGATACTATGGTTCCTGATGTACAATCTTAGAGTTAATATTTGTACTTAAGGTTGCAACGATAGAGCTTGTGTGGCCTTAGCTAGGTTACCATGAAAAGATGGGATAATATGGTAAATGGTCTCCATTGCACCTTGTGAATTTATTGCCGCTCAATAAATTCTGACATTGTGGAAATGCACAAACATGTTTGTCTGTTTCTGATGAAGCACTCTCATGACAAGAAACCACTGAGGTAGAATGACAAAGAAGAGGCCTATCAAGGAGTGTCTTGAAGGAGTCAGCTGTATCAAATGCTATTGTGAAACCAAAGCAAGAAGAGACGTGACAATCAGAATTGGTGACATGGAGATGACTCTGCTAAGGGCAATTTCAGTGGAATGGTGGTGGTAGAATGCTGATTGGAGTGAACTGAGGAGAAAATGTGGTATGATAAAGAGGTGACAGAGTAACAATGGGGGAGAAATTGAGCAGTAGCTAGAAGGGAATAGGGATTAAAGGGTAGTTCACTGGTCTTTTGTTGTTTTTGCTTTATCTTTTCGAAACAGGGTTTCTCTGTAGCTTTGGAGCCTACCTGGAACTCACTCTGTACACCCGGCTAGCCTCAAACTCACAGAGATCTGCCTACCTCTACCTTCTGAGTGCTGGCACTAAAGGTGTGTGCCACCATCCAACTGTTCTTTGTTGTTTAATGGTAAATGTTTATATATGGATGTGATCATTTGAAAAAGGATAAACTAATAAGGGAAAAGAGAGGGGATGCTTTAAAGCCAAAGGTGGGATCCAGATCACAGGTGGAGAATGGGCATTAGAAACAGATTCATGTGGGTAAAGTACAGGGAGGGACGGAGGGAAGGACAGAGGGAAGGAGGCAGGGAGGTGTGGGACAATAATAAGAAGGCAGCTGGTCTGAAGGTGTGACTGCTCTGTGAGCCTGGGCTTAGAATGATGAATGTCTTCTCAATCTAAACAAAACAGGATCTGGAAATGTGACCAGTAAGTACAGTTGTGGCTTAAGGGCCATCACCGAATCTTGCCAGGTGTCAGACTGTTGCTGTGTGTCCACTGGCTTCTGGGAAGCCCAAGGTCAAATCACTAAAGAACTGCTTAGTCAGGAATTCAGTCACCACTTAAGTCAGGACACAAGCAGCTTTTGTGCAGAACTGCATCTCATCAACTGCATAATTCGTAAGGTTATAAGGCCTTCTTCACTAGTCAAGGGAAAACACGGAGCACTGCTCACGAGGAGCTAGAAGCATTTGGGAAACTCATATTAACTGAATCATGTGTGCAGAAAAGAATTCAGCCTTGCCTTAAGAGAGGCTTGGAGGGTGGTGGTACATGCCTTTAATCCCAGCACTCAGGAGACAGAAGCATCTCTGTGAGCTGGAGGCCAGACTGGTATACAGAGTGAGTTCCAGGACAGCCAGGGCTGTTACATAGAGAAACCCTGTCTTGGGCCATGAGGGGAGTTCGGGGAGGGTGTTTGGCTTTTGCAACCAACTTCCAGGAAGAAACCTCTAAACTCTTGTAATTTTCTGAAGGATCAAAGTGTCTTTGTTATTCATGGTGGACCCCTTAGATCACATGTATTAGTTTGTGATCTAGAGAAGGACAGATGTGTAAACAGTTCAGTCAGATCAGTCAGGGTTAGGTAACGAAGCCCCAGCAATAGCTGAAGAGTGAAGCTCAGGAGACTGCTAGGGTTGCTGATATTCCTGTGGGTGTTATCACACCTAGATGAAAGGAGGGACAGTGGAGGCTTTGCTTTCAGAGCCCTCTCAGGTTCAGAATCCTCTCAGAAGATCACTATGCATCTTCATGGGCTTGGTTTTGATCTGAACCGTTTTCTATAACACACAGTGACTATGAGTACACCAGCTTTCAATGAGTTCCATGATTCTTACAGAGCTCTAGTCAAACCTAGTGGTCTTTGTAATTCCAGAATTTTCAGCTGATGTTGGAAGTGAAGGCAGTCTTATAGATTAATGGTAGTATGGAGGACTATGCCCTCAGACTTTGTGGTCTGGCTAACTTCAGGTAACCCTGGAATCAGATAAAATCTAGAAATCACCTATTTTAACTCCACTTTACAAGTGAGAAAACAGTATAGGAAGAAGAAGGTTGTCATAACTGAGCAGGGAATTGCCCTTCCCCTCCCCCCAGTATCCTGGTTTCCAGTGTGGTGTGCTAAGATGCTTAAACTGAAAATATTTAGTGTTTATAAAACAGATGATATTATGGCTTGGATATGAATTGAGTGTGTACATTAGACTTCCTGTGCTGAAATAAAATCTGCAATGTGATTACAGGTTATCATTAACTATATACCAAGGCAATCTATGTACTGGAAGGTAATACTAGGACTCACAGAGATCTGCCTGCCTCTGCCTCTCCAGGGCTGTGATTACAAGTGTGTGCCACCAGGCCTGGCTCTAAAGAACATTTTAGAAAACAAAAGCTATTACACTGGAATGACCACAACAGCCAGTCAATTTGGGGGAAAAAATTTATTATACATCATGTTTCTACCTACCTTAAGTGGCATATATACTACTGCCTGAAATAGCTGATCTCTTGACAATTCAGGCTCATTATCCTGAATGTCAACATTTCTATCTACAGATTCTGCAATGCTCAGAACATAAACAACCTAGTCTGGTTCTCCTTGTCCAGTATAAACTGCCAGTCCTTTATTCCTTCTCACCGAAGGATTTCTGGAAGGCTGATGGTTTGCTAGTGGGTGCAGTGTAAACTCGGAGGGCACTTGCTCCTTCAGAATTTCAGGCCCAAGTATTATCCACCCTTTGGACTGTTGTAGAGCTCCTGGGTCCAGAGTTCTACAAAAGTTTGTGTGGATTTTACAGTAGGCTTGTATCTGGGATGCTGAGTCCTGTACCACATCAACTGGGGAAGGCCACTTCTCTCTCACAGGAACAACAGAAGATATCTAATTTGAATTTTGCCCTGTCAGTCTCCCCGGGAACTGGGGACTAACTTTTCCCTCATTCTAACCCACTAGCCTTTTGAGAAAGATGCTGCCGCAGGCATGGCAGTGAAGAGACAGTGAACTAATTCTCGGGCCCAGACTTCCCTCAGGGACCTATTCACAGCCAGACTCCCTGAGTCACAGAAGAAGTGGGATGCAGCTCCCTGGAGTCTTCAAGTTCAGGGTGAAGATCTAGCACTCTACCTCTGCACAGTTCTGTAGCTGATAATGCAGATTGCTGAAGAGGAGGCCTCTAAAGGGGGTACTTGAAGATAACCCAGAGAGGAAGGAATGGAAGAAAAGGAAGCAGGAAGACACCTTGAATCCCACTAGGCCTGTAGATAACTGATCCTGCTTCTTCCTCGAGCTACAGTTTGTGACTGTACTGGGTCTCTTTGCAGTTTCTTACCTGTGGCTGCTGGGTGGTTAGGGGTCTCTGAGGAGACAGGGCAGGAGTCCTGGACAATAGCTGGTTCATCTTGCTGATGACTAGATCTGTGATGAGTTGTCTGTCCTCCACCTGGTGTTCCCCAATCAGTGGCATGCTACAGTCCATGACCTAACAGAAGATGTGGCCCAGGTAAGGAAAAGGTCTGGAAATGTAATGGCCCACTATGCTTTTTGGGAACGGGTGCAATTTAAGCCCGCAAAGTGGGTTGGTTGGCTGGAATGTGTTCCTCAGCAGAGACAGGAACCATTTGCTCCTTGTGCAAACATTTGCCATGACCCCTTTCCTTTCTGTTCACCCAGAGCAGAGCTCTGAGGTTCAGAGTGCTGGCTACTGGGAGTGGGAATAGGGAAAAAAAAAAAAAAAAAAAAAAAAAAAAAAAAAAAAGCAGGCGAGGGTATGGCCTGGGGCTGGAAGTTTACAGGAGCAGGAAGCCCTGGAAGGGAATGCCTTAGAGCAGGCAGTTGTCATCCTTTGACTTTTTAGTCTGTTCCCAAACACATTCTGTTCATTAACCAGCCTGATTTCTGCCCTTGCTCCTGACCAGGACAGTTTCTCTGCTCACCACTGATCTTGATTCTTCCTGCAGCTGGGGAAATGCTTCCTTCCTTTAGGAACTACCCGCTTTAGGAGAATCATAGACTGTGGTCCAACTCTCATTAGCAGAGGATAAACAGGCTTACCCAGAGAGGGTGGTATGGTTATCTAGAAGGTTCCATGATAAGCAGGCTATAGAGTATATTTTGAATCTGAAACACATGTTAGCCTCCTGACATTAGTATTCTGGAAACACCAGCTTTTCTACTCCCAGGAAGACTGAGCCCAGTGAGGGGTTAGTGTGGGATTCACACCTCTTTCCCTTTAACAGGGAAAATTAACAGAAAGACTTAAAAGCTGGGTTAGGAGACCAGACAGAGTGCAGTATGTCTAAGGCTAAGAGATGTTAGAAAGAACCATTGCATTCAGGTGTCAAGTTGACGCTGATTCACCCTGAGGCCTTAAGTACATATTCATAGTAGAGAGGCTCTATTTCTTCATGTAATAAACTGATTATGTATGATTGAACAATTCTCAAAAGCGGCTTTCTCAGAGTAAAAATGATACTACAATCACTACAATGTCCTCATAACAAAGTAGGCATGGAACCAGGAAACTAGATGTGTTATCTATTACCCTTTGTGTGACTTGGCCAACAGCTCTTCACTTGGAGAGGAAGCTTGCTATACAGACCTGCCATCTTGGACCTTCATAATTAGAAGACTATAAATGTAATGTGGGATTCTCACATAACTCTTGAGCCAAGAGTCTGGTCCCAGTCTGGGTGTTACTGCATACTGATGTCTTCCTTGGGACAGACTTACCTCAAAAATGTAGTCTTTCCCATCTTTGCCATGTACAGCTTTGACTGCACAGATGTCCAGGCCACCAAACATCTCAGAGCAGGCATCTACCCAGAGCTTGTACCTGGAGGGGACAGGGAGATGTCCTGAGGCTAAGACATTAAGCTCACACCAAGCCCACATTCTCATAAAGTCTTGCTGCCTCACCTTTCCAACCCTCGCCTCCTCTTCTTTCTTGCCCTCGACATCATCGGGCATGATGCCTGTTTATGGTGCCTCCCCTTTCTGACCTCTTGAACCCACCCAAATGCCCAAGCCCTCACATTACCTAAAAGGCCTTCCAGCCCACACTACTATTTCTTTCTGTGGTACATCATCCTTATCTCTGTAACAGCATTTGACTTGGCTCTGCCTGATCTTGTTCCCTGGCTGCCAGAGCCTCTGTATTTTATTAGTCTACACAGAGCCTCCCTCACTTCCAATGTTGCTTATGTCTAACACCTCTTTATTGATAACAGCCTTCCTTTACATGAGGACAGGCGAGACATTGCTCACTCACCGGTCTGACATGGCGATCTGCTCCAGCATTGCAGAGCCAGTGTTTGTCTTCCAGTTCCCTGAGATGGATGTCCTCCTGAAACAAAGCCCCACCAGGAAAGGACAGGCTGTGAACCACACCAACGAAGAAAGTGAAAGAACTTCAGAACTGAAGATCACTAGTCCATTGCTGCATTGCCCACCAGAATTCTCCTGAGCAACTAAAGGGTCTATCTGTTGGGCCTAGAGTCACCAGTCACCTATGATGCCTTGCTCTCCCAACGAAGGTCTATCTCAGAATGATCCATTCAAAAGATAAGAAATACAACCTTCTCAGAGACTCATAAAACCTCCAAAATCAAGCAGATTGAGGCTACAAAGCAAGCTTTAAAAAATATTAAAAAATTGAAATAACTCCTTATGTCTTATCAGACTACAAAAGAAACCAAAGAAACTATACATTCACACGACAAATGAACACATCTGAATGAATACGGGGCCACTGAGACAGTCACAGAGGAAACTAAAAACTTCTTAGAATCAAATGGAAATGAGAGCATCACTGGTTAAAGCTCTGAGATACAGCTAAGGCAGCTCTAAGAGGATAGTGCTTAACAAAGTCCTAATGTTAAAAAAAAAAAAATCAGTAAGGTCTCAAATAAATAATCCAGTAGCATACCTCAAGATCCCAGAAAAGCAAGAAGCCAAACCAAAATGGCAAGAAATAGAGATGAGGTAGAAATGAAGAAAATAGAGACTAAGAGAATAATACATAGAACCATGAATTTAAAAGTTGGTGTTGTGAAATGAACTAAGCAGAAGAAGGAAACAACAAAAGTAGAGATGAAAAGATCTGTGTCTGTCTGTCTGTCTCTCTCTCTCATTCTCCCTTCTCTGCCTTCCCTTCCTCCAATAAAACTTACTTCCCATGTTAAACAAAAGTCTTTGCTACAAGAGACTCTATTAATAGCCAGGGATCATTAGAGAATATTCTGAAAACTTATTATTTAAAAAAGCTAAAAATCTAGAAAAATGAAGAAATTTCTAAAAAAAAAAAAAAAAAAAAAAAAAAACTATGGCCAACTAAAATCAGATGAAATGACATAAATATCTTAAACCCACAACAAGCAACATTAATGAAGAGTAATTATATCTAATCCGAAAGAAAAGGACTAGATGGACTCATTGCTGAGTTCTATAAAAATTTTAAGAAAGATGATATTAATACTTAGCAAATTCACATAAAATAGAAAAAAAAGGGAAAGTTACCAAATTTACTCTATTATAAAAAGCCAAATAGACAAACCAGATAAAAACACAACACAAAAAAGGAAAACTTTAGACCAGTTCCACTGGTGGATATAGATGCAAGAATTCTCAAAAAAAAAAAAAAAATACAGGCCAAATTCAAGAATATATGAAGAAGGCTGGCAAGATAGCTTAGCTGCTATAAGTGCCTGCCACAAAGACTAATGCCCTGAGTTTGATTTTTAGGTCTCATATGAAGAGAACCAAGTCCCACAAGTTGTTCTCTGACCTCCATGCCTGCCCTACGGCATGTTATACACACATACACACAGGTGTGCTCATGGGCACACAGGCTCATACACATACACACACAAATAAATGTGATACAGACTTTTAAAGATACATCAAGGTCAAGTTGGTTTCAATCCAGGGAAGAAGTAACATTGGTTTATCTCTCTCTCTCTCTCTCTCTCTCTCTCACACACACACACACACACACACACACACACACACACACACACACACACACACACAAAATAGCAAATAGCACCATATAAAAATATTTAGTGGCAGAAGTCATATGACTATCTTAATAAACACAGAGACAGCATTTAATAAAGTTTAACATGATAAAATTTTGAAGAAACAAAAAACAAAAGGAAGACACAGCATAATGTAAGGCTACAAGCCTGTTGGCAGCATTATTCTACATGGGAAAAGCTGAGAACATTTACTCTAAAATCTTATTCAATAAAGTGCTCAAATTCTTAACTATAACAATAAAATAAAAAAATAAAATGGACATAAACAAGAAAGGAAGAAGCCAGATTACTTCTACTTGCAGATCTCATGGCCCCATACTTAAAAGACCATATGGGCTCCACCAGAAAATTCTTAGACCTGATAAATACTGTCAGTAAAACTATAGAATGCAAAATCAACATGTAGAAATTGGTACATTTTCTATATACTAAGAAGAAATTTGGCAAGATGTCTTATTTATAATAGCTTAAATAAATCAAAAAAGATTGTGAGGAATAAACTTATTGAAGAGACATGAGAAACCTCTAAAATATTAAGACACTGAAGAAAAGTGTTCAAGAAGACACTAGATAGACTATTGAAAACCTCCTACAGCTATGAATTGACAATACTGTGAAAATGGTTATATTACCAAAAGAAGTATAGAGCCAACACAACCCCATCAAAATTCCAATAACATTCCTTACAGTAGAAAATAGCAATCCTACTATTCATAGGGAGACACAAAAGATCTTGAATAACCAAAGAAATCCTAAACAGAACTAAAACTAGAAATATTGAATGGCCAAGATATCCTACTTCTGGGCATATACCCTAAGTATTTTAAATCCTACCACAGAGATATTTATACATTCACATTACCGCTTTACTACTCTCAACAGCCAGGAAATAGAACAGCCTAGAAGTCTATCAACAGGTGAATGAAAAAAAAAAAAAAAAAAACATGGTACATACACAGTGGAATTTTATTCCACTACAAAGTAAACTGAATTCATGATATTTTCAGAAAAAATGGATGGAACTAGAAATTATCAAAGTAACCCAGATTCACACAAATACCACATTCCGATAGTCAGAGCTTATATTCTAATTGTTATATGTGGGGGTCTAGGTTATGAAACTAGAAAAAGGACTATGGGAACTGGAAAATGGGCCTTGGGCTGGGGTGAGAAAGAGAAAGAAGAGGTAACAGAACATATGTGTCATGAAAGCAGAGGAGGGAGGGGGAGCAGGAACCTGGGGTGGGGGTGGAAAAGATACAATGAAACCCTTTACTTTGAATAATAATTAAGAAAATTAATGAAGGTCGCACATGGTAGCACATGCCTTTAATCCCAGACCTGGAAGCCAGAGGCAGGCAGATCTCCGAGTTTGAGGTCAGACTGGTTTACAGAGTGCATTCCAAGACAGCCAGAACTACACAGAGAAACCCTGAGAAAGAAAGAAAGGAAGGAAGGAAGAAAGGAAAGAAGGAAGGAAGAAAGAGGGGAGGGAGGGAGGGGAGAGAGGGATGAAGGGAGATGGAGGAAAGGAAAGAAAGAGAAATAAAGAAGAAAAAAGAAAATAAAAAAACCAAACTTTTAAAATGTTAAGAAAATGATAAAACTCACAATAATAATAGTTTCCTTATATTAGTTGTTTCAAATGTGTTCCTACAGCTAGACTCCTCAAAGCAAGGATATTCGCTCATTTTTGTGTCCTCAGCACATAGCCATGATGTGGAAGGCCTCAGAAACTGAGCAAATAATAATAGTAAATCCTTTATATTTATACAGTGTTTCAAAGTTTGCAAAATTCCTTAAGACTTCATACTGTCTCCTAACAATAGGACACAGGGTGTATAGGCAAGTGGACACTGAAAGGCCCCAGGGACAGTTTAACTGCCTCTGTTGATAGTGGGGCAGGGTGGGCACCTTTCCACCAAATGGTGCTGTTGGGGATTTCCAGAGGGGAAGACTGCCACACTTAACCTTAGCTACTGCAAGGCCCATTCCTGTGGGGATACAGTCAAAAGCTTGGGGAGGAAGTGTAATGGAGAGATGATGAGGGGCATAAATACTCCCCCAAAACACTAATGATCCCTTGCAAGGAGAAACAGTATGGAAATGTCAACCAAAGTTCTTGTAGTTAGCCACCCTTCTTATCTGATATTCCCCCACCTTTCTCTCCTCTCTCTGTCTCTGTCTCTCTGTCTCTCTGTCTCTCTCTCTCTCTCTCTCTCTCTCTCTCTCTCTCTCTCTCTCTCTCTGTAGGCCATGTAGACCAGACTGACCTCACAAACATCTGCCTGCCTCTCCTAGCCAGAAATATGCAGTTTTGCATCTTTCAACCAATTAAAAAACAAACAACTAAATGAAAACCCCTACTGTCTTTAATTGTGCATAGTTTTAAAGCAATGCTTAATTCCTTTTTGGAAAGCAGGAAAATGGTAAATATACAACTATGACTGTTTTGAAGCAGGAAACTAGACTGGGAGTAAAGCCTTGTATAAAGTATGTGCTTAGCACGTACAAGATCCTGAATTCAACCCCCAGCTCCCCAACACCATACACATGCATGTGAGCATGAACACAGAGAGAGACAGAAAGACACACATACACAGAGACAGAGAACCAGAGAGAGACAGAGACACATACACGGAGACAGAGAGACCCAAAGAGGGGCAACAGACAGACAGACACACACACACACACACACACAGAGAGAGAGAGAGAGAGAGAGAGAGAGATCACAACCCAAACTAAAAACCCCACATCTCCAAATCAGAAAGACACTCCCACCATCATGCTTTAGCTTTCTTCAGAGGTGTCCCCTGAAGTCTGTGGGTGCCTACTGCTATACAAGGTGAGAAACAGGGATTTTATCATTCTCCCCACAAGAAATTCACCCTAGAAAAGAATGATATTTGTGGAAGGACTAAAGTCTGAAGCAGGTATGGAAATAAGTGCAGGGAAGGAATATCTCCCTACCTCCAGAGGTACCAACAACGAAAAAGGAGGAAGGAGAACACTGGGACAGGTGAGCATGGCTAAGACACAGGAAGGCATCCAACTTTATGTGCTGAAGTCTTGAGTGGCAGAAAGAATGTTCTTTATTTGTAAAGAAAACTTTACATCTAAACCAACTTTTAAAAAGCCATAGATTAATATTCTCCAAAATGGAGCTACACACTGTCTGCATGAGTATTACAGAAGGCCAGACATCACCCTGACTTCTACACTTTTCCTGGTGGGTGTGGCTCGGTGAAGCAGCCATCCACTCTTGGGAAAGAGGTAGCAGCATTCCCAAGGCTAGGTGTATACATTAGGGGCTCAGCTGCTTCTGTGCTCTTGCAGACTGGTGAAGCATACAGATCTCTCTCAAGTACAAAGCATGTAGGGTGTGTAACATGTGATAAAAGCACATAGGGTACAAGGCACACAATCCATTTCTTCAAATATTAAAATAAGCATTTCTGTGAACATGATGTAGTAGCAGGTTTAACGCCTGCCATGGCTTTTGGAAGAAGAAAGAGAAGAGTTGGTTTTAGCCACATTTGTTATAACCTGTATGACAGGTCAAGAATACCTGTGACCACTGATAGTGAAAGGGCCCACATACTACCAGTACTGTAGTCTACAGCCTTTGTTCCTGTCTGAAGAGAACGAAAATTCCACTTAGAGACTAGTGAAATGGTTATACTTTTATTTCTCAGGTCTCTCCTCCGACTTATAAAGAATTCAGGCTAAGAATTCAGGGCATCCTCTCCCTGGTCCTACCTTATGGAGCTGATGAGGTTAAACTGTGGCTGCTGGGGGAAAGTGGATAGCATTCTTTGAATACTCCACACATACTCACATGTAAGCCTTGTAGTTGTTGCCAATCTTCTGAACCCGGATGTCATACTTGGCATCAATGAAGGGTTCTGCTGTGGCATAGGTTTGGGTGAGGGCCACCACACTAGCAATGTCCTGGAAGTCGTAGTGATTTTCCACTTTGACCTAATGTTGATGGAAGACAGACAGGAAGGGGGACATGTGCATACACACACTGAGAAGTCACAAGGGCTTAGAGCTTCCAAGCCAATCAATCAGTTTCTGACACTGGCAAACATGAACATCCCATCTCCCCAGAAGTTCCTTTGTCTCTAGTGCCTTCATAGAGCCAGAGCCACATTTTTTGAAAAATATCTAAAGGCCAGCTGGGTTGGTTGCTCTCTTCACTGTATGATTGGGCAAAATCCATGGCTTCCAAGAGACCTAGTCAGATCCTTGGGAGAAATCCACTGACACAGGAAAAATAGTCTACAAATGGGCTTGCTGAAAAATCCCCCTTTGACTCAACCCAGACTACTACCAGCCATCCCGCCTTACCTTGCCCATGCCTGAATGAGCATGGCCAATCTTCACCACCACCGGGAATGTAGGCAGTGTAAGCTGAGAACAGAAGAGGAAGAAATGGACTGGTCAGTAGGTCTTTTCTCTTTGGAATCCTAAAATATTTTCCTTGGGAAGACCCTTGGGAGCATCCTTTAATAAAGAATCAGTGTTGGGGCTAGAGAGAACTCAGCAGTTAGGATGGCTTACTGCTCTTGCAGAAGACCTGGGTTCAGTTCTCAGCACCCACACCAGGTGTCTTAGAACCATCTGGAACTCCAGCTCCAGGGCTTCTGACAACTTTTGGCCTCTGCAGACTCCTGCATGCACATGACACACATAACTCATGCAGGCACACATGCATCCATGTAAATAAATATCCACTTTGGTGGATATTATCAAAATACATTGCATGAAATTCTTGAATAATTAATAAACCATTAAAATAAAATAACTAATGCACGGCACTTGTTTTACACATGGAACCCATAGAATGACAGCAACTTTCCCAAGGTCACATAGCAGCTTAGAGGCCGACTATATGTGCCTTGCTCTCCTATCTGTTGCTTTCTACATCTCACTGCTGTAATTTTTTCTGCATTAGACAACCCTAGCAGGACTTCCTCTCAGCTAAATTTTTTTTTCCAAATTCATGAAGGAGTAAATTTTACAATTGTACTGTAATAAATCAGAAATGTTTGGAATGCATTTTGAGCACCCTGATGTCCATTGAAGCACCTCTGAGTACTTCTGCCGGTCACATGCCATCTTTCCTGTGCTGATCCTAACTTCCTCCTCCTCTGCCACACTTTTCATTGCTTATCAGCACCACAGACCCAGTACCAGACACAGACTTAGTATGCTGAGGTCTATTTCTGTCCAGCTCAGGATTCGGGAGAGATGCCCTAAGAATTTGTTATGTTTACCCTTGCAAGACATCCTTAACACAGTGAACTCTTCTTTGAAGTAGCCTTGTTTTGACGGAGGAGGAATAAGACTTAAAGGAAGAAGGACCCTCCAGAGGCAGGATTTTGAGCTGCAACAAAATGCAGGCACAGGTAGAAACATGATGGAGTAGGGGGAGCAGCAGACAGCACTGTCAGAAGATTCTAGTCCTCTCTGCCACTCACCTCATGGCACTGAACATCTCAGCCTTCGCATCTGTTAAGTGACAAGACTGGGCAGATGCTTTTAAGATCCCTCTGAGTGACAACTCTGTCTTGGTCTGAGCATGGTGTGAAGGATTACTCTACACACCTGGACCTACCACCTCTCTGTCTGACTCCATTCTCTCCCAACTCCCTTCTTTTCAAACATCACCACTGCCATCTAACTGGTGTTTTCTCAAGGACATAGCTGTCACTAGAAGGGAAAAATCAGGTTCTATGATTAAAAGTGGAATGCACTTGTGATCAGAAATGTGGGTTTGATGGTCTGGGCTGCAAATGAAGGAAGGGAGGAATCATGTAGTTCAGTCTTATTTTATGGAGGAAAAAAGTAGAGGCCCAGACAGGCAAAGATCACAAAATGACTCAGTGGCAGCCAAAATCAGGACCCAGCCTCCAGCTCTCCCTGGGGCAGCCACTCCACGAATTTCTTTTCATTCAGATTCTTGGAGCACTTTGCTGACAAACAGTGGACAAGGCTTGGGTCACAATGACCAGAGTGCCTGGCTTGTTTGCTAAGCCGCTCCACCTTCTGCAACATGGCGGTCTCCATGGAGCAATGATGTGCAGTAGGAGCTTTGAGGTCCAAAGTTTGCCCTGACTGACAGGACACCCTGTGTTTTAAGCTCCATGGAAAGAACTGCCCTCAACTCTCTGCGGTCTAAGACTGCGGCTGTGAGAAAGGGTTTAAAGCACTGGCTACTTTCTCTGACATCCCTCCCCACCCCCCCAGCAGACAGCGCCAAGACACACACACACACCCCAACTTTCTCTGTCCTGTTCCCTGACTGTTTGCTGTTGCTTTGGAGCCTCATAAATAGGGCATTGAAAACACTTCCTGCGGCTGAAAGAAGCCCTGAGTAGCTTGTCTCATTCCCAGTATGCAGCTCAGCGAGGGGTCCGTCCTCCTCTGTCACTGTCTCTTTTGCCTGTTGTAATTCTGTCTGCCTCTGACTTGGCCTGTGTCTCCCTGTGTCTATGCTTCCCCTCACTTGCTCCTCTTTTCGGAGCCTCAGTCCTTCATCTTTGTGCCTTCTTGTCTCTACGATGACCTTCGCTTCCCTCTCTGCCCCCAACACCGTATCTTCCGTGTATGTCCAGGCTGTTGCCTCTTTCGGAATCTGCCCGCTTCCCTCTGCATTACTGGGTTTGTTGGTCTGGTCAGGAGGGCCTTGGGTCCTGCGGCTGTGGGTGGCCTGCTGCCAAAGGAGGGAGGAGCCCATGGGGGGCGGGATTGGCCCTAAAGCCACCTCATAAAGACTGGACTGCACGAGGCTTTCTGGAGGAGTTCTGGAGGGCTGTTTGTTACGACAGGCAGACCCCACGAGCTCAGCTGGGGCTCTGCGGTGTCATGCCCTGGAGCCCCCTAGATGCGCTGAGCTGGGCGCTGGTGCTGCGGCTGCTGGCACTGCTGCGGCCTCCGGGGTTGGGTGAGGCGTGCACCTGTGCTCCTGCGCACCCCCAGCAGCACGTCTGCCACTCAGCTCTAGGTGAGTCCCTGGCCTTTAGGACCACAACAAGGGGGTGCCTGTGGGAACACTGGTGTTGGGCAGAGCTGGAATCGTAGGAAAGGGGTGGAGCTCAGAGCTCAGATCCTGTATGGGTGCCTCCTGCTGCAGCGGATAGGTCAGACATGCTGTTGCTTTATTGACCTTGGAAATACAAAGCCTGGTTTGTGGGAGAATAAATATTCTATCATAGATCTCCAGAGTAGCTTCCGTCAGCTCAGCAAGATGGAAACTAGCTGTCACTAGAGCTATCCAATGAGTTTCAGAACTCCTTGGGGGTGGGGCGTTTGCACTGTAACACCTGCCTCCTTGCCTGCAGTTGAAGTTGCCAGGACTTACACCTTTTGTCTTTGCTCTCCCCCCCACCTGGACACCCTTCTTTCACACCTTTAACTTCCTGGCAAACACTATTCACCCTTCATTTTCTGAAGGCGTTTTGATTCCTTGCTGCCCCCTTTGCAGGCAGAGAGCAAGAACTGTTTAAACAAATTGTCTAGGACTAGGGCTGTAGCTTGATGATAGAGTATTTGCCTCTCATGCATGAGGCATTAGGTTCAGCGTTCAATACAGGAAAAATAAACAGCGGTTCTTGATTAGATGGCAAGAGACGAACTTCCTCAGTGGAGAATAGGGACATTTACGAATTCCATAAACATTTTTTATTATCATGTGTAGGTATGTTATGAGGGTTTAAGATGTATCAATCAATGTGTCTCATATCAATTGCCAGAGCTATGGAGAATTTGGGCTCTAGAACTGCAGGTTAAAAGGCAGACAGAACACAGATTAAAGATCTAACAACCCTCAAGGGTTTGAACCTGGCAACCACTACAGAGTAAATCCCAAGCCCCTTCTCTCATATGAATCATGCCGCTGAGAACCCAAAAACACATGAACCAATCTCCAGACACTCAGAGGACTCCAGGCCATGCAGACCTAAGATTGCACACTCCCACAGTGCTGAAGTTTCCCCCCCCCCATTTTTTTCCCCTGTGCAGTAATTCGGGCCAAAATTTCCAGTGAGAAGGTAGTTCCTGCCAGTGAAGACCCTACCGATACTCAAAAACTGATCCGGTATGAAATCAAACAGATAAAGGTACATGGGGCAGGACAGGGGCTGAGCCATGATGGGCTGGTGGAGGGATGGGGGAACTGTGTGAGCTGGAATGGGCAGGACCCATGAGAACCAATCAACTGTTCAGGGTTAGGATTCCCTGTCTACCCTGTCCTACAGCTCTTTGTCCGTGGACCTCCCCATCTCCCTGGAATAAATCAAAGTTTAGACTTATTTAAAAACAAAAAATCAAGGTCATCTGTGTACCCAACCTGAATTCCACTTTTGCTTAATGTTTGGAAAGAAATGAGCATCTTTTAACCTGCTACCCTGCCCTGCCCTGACCCACTGCTGCTCTTCCGTAACTGCCTTTCAGATGTTTAAAGGGTTTGAGAAGGCCAAGGATGTTCAGTATGTCTACACACCATTTGACTCTTCTCTCTGTGGTGTCAAACTAGAAACCAACAGCCAGAAGCAATATCTTTTGACTGGTAAGTTAAGGGGCTAAGCAGAGTTGTGATAAATGGCCATGGCCTTTTAGTTGGGAGGAGCAATGAAACTCCCTTTCAATGTAGGAGTCCCTGTTACAGCGATCTTGGCCACTGCTTCACTATTTTAAGGACAGACTGCTCTCTGAACCTAGGACAGCTAGTTCCATTTTGAAAGTGCTAATTGGTATGAGATTTTTGGCATCTTGAGCCCAAATACATCTCCTGAAGGTGTTTCCTGTACACCTATCTCTGCCCTGTGTACAGGCTTGACTCTACAGTTTCACCTCAGTGAACTCCAGGCTGGGCCAGCCTCTTCCAAACTGAACTACCTGGGACAGAACAGTAAATGAGCTATCTAATACACCTAAGAATATTTGGGGGAAATAAATAGATACAGCACTAAATTATTGGAATTCCGGGAAAGAGGTGCTGGTGTGGTTGTGAACTGGCAGGGAAGCTTCACTGTTTGAGTGGGCTCTAAGCTAGCCCACAAGATGGAAAACATCTGTAAAGAAATCAAGAAAAACAAAAACCCAGCCCACAGGGAAAACAGGGAGGAGCTCCACTCTGCCCATGGAGCCAGTAGATGACTATCTACTACATACTGCCAGGCCTGGGAAGGAAAGTGAAGATTCAGAAATAGGTCTTAGTCTCAAAGACTTCATAGCCCAGATATGGCTCTTGAAGAGTGTCAGGAACTAGAGGACACAATGAAAGGGGCTTTTCAGCTCTGAGGATATGAGATTGTGCTGCCCTGGGCAGCCTCTACAGAGACAGGACATGCCACTGTACCTTCCAGTTCCTTCATAAGCAGACTAGTCTCTTTACATCCCACCCCTTTCCTAAGCACCCACTTTGTGGGTCTCACCCTCAATGAGTGTATCAGGGAAAAGGGGAGGGGGTTGTCCTTGAGGAGGTCAAGAATAACCAAGGGTGGAGAAAACATAACTACAAAAAAGTGTCAGTGGTTCCATGACTTCAGGAGAAGCCAATGATCCCTTCATTGATAGGTAAAAGTTCTTCGTGCCCAGAACACTGTGACCATTGTAGCTTTTTCTATGCCATTTGTCAGTGACATAGTACTTAGCATCTTTTTCCCTGAGAACTAAAACAAACTATGGGGAAATACTCATCAAGATAAATATCAGTTGAGCAGGAGAGGTCAGTGTGGATATTCAAAAGGAGTGGACATCTTCTGTGGGCCAACAACTGTACCAACAACTCTATATACAGTCCCTTATTTAATCTCAGCAAAAGCTTTACTATTCTCATCCTTTACCTGAAAGCTCCTGTGACCTTCTTTATGGTTACAGCAGCTAGTACATAAAAACAGGAGTCCTACCCACATTCTGGCTTTTTCCTTCCTCCCTGAGGCAGGAATATAGCTCAGGTCTTCACACCAGCTAAGCATGTACTCTGTTACTGAGCTACATTCCCAACCCTCTGTCAGTCATTTTGTTGTTTGGTTTTTACTTGTACCTTTTGTTTGTTTGTCTGTTTATCTAAGAAAGGGTCTTGCTATGTAGCCCAGGCTGATCACAAGCTTTTGGTTCTCTTGCCTTAGTCTCCCGAGGGCTAAGGTTACAGGCATGTGTCACCAGATCTAACAAGCTATAGGCTGATTTTAAAACACACCTTCTTTCTGCTTTGTGCTAAAGGAAAAGACCTCCACTAGTTCCCACAATTCTGCCTTGCACAGACACCATGAACTAATCTCTGCTTTAAAGGTTATATAGGGATTTGTCTGGTCCCTTCATTGACTCCTAAGTTTTCACTGAAGTCATAAAGCCATTTGAGACTGGAGTTTTCTCTGTTGTATAGTATGTGTTGGGCATACATAAGGCATAATTTCAGCACAAAAAGAAAGGAAGGGAGGGAGGGAACAAGGGAATAGAAGGAAGGAAGGAAGGAAGGAAGGAAGGAAGGAAGGAAGGAAGGAAGGAAGGAATGAAGGGAAGAAGACCTTTATAAAAGTTAGACTTCTGGGCTGTTTAATGATGGGCACCCCTGGGGGGGTCCTAAGCAGTCTCCTGGCTAGACTCCTCTTTCTCTCCCCCACAAAGGCCAGATTCTCAGTGATGGAAAAGTCTTCATCCATCTGTGCAACTACATTGAACCCTGGGAAGACCTGTCCTGGGTGCAGAGGGAGAGCCTGAATCATCACTACCACCAGAACTGTGGCTGCCAAGTAAGATCTTTTGTGGGTAAGGGACAAGCTTAGAGCCTTGGGTCTCATCCTTCATGTAATCTTCCACATACATGTACTTACTCACTTCCTACACTTAAGTTGCACCATGGAAGTTGGGGGCAGGGAGGCATAGACTGCAGTACCTATCTCAAAGTACTTACACTTTGGGTGGGACACTGCAATGACACAGGGCAGACTGGAATGACACTAAATCACCATTTAAAGAAAGTCTAAGCCAGGTGTGCTGGCTTAGCAGCACTGTAATAGCAGTGCTTGAGAGCCTGAGGCAGGAAGGAGGATTCCAAGTTTGAGGCCAGCTTGGGCAACACAGTGAGACACCATTTTTGTTTGTTTGTTTGGTTTTTTTGTTTTTTTTTTCTTTGTTTTTAAGTGAGAAAAGGGAGCACAGAAAGACAGAGTACTCTTTTATAATATAATTTATAATATAATAAATTTGTGAAGAACCAAGACTTTAGTTTTAAGGTAAATAAATCAAGACTCTGAAGAGTATTTACAGTCATGGCAGTATGGGAGCCATCAAGGCTGAGTCTAGTGTCACCAGGAAGATAATACTGTTCACAAGGAGATGGGGGAGGGGAGCTCAAGAGGGATCTTGGGGCTGGGAAATGACAAAGGCAGATGAAATGGCAGTGAGGACACTAGGATGTGAAAGGTAGCACAGAAAAAGGACACTCTGTTCACTTTGATATTGTGTTATCACGACTAGATCACCACTTGCTACGCGGTGCCCTGTACCATCTCAGCCCCCAATGAGTGTCTCTGGACAGACTGGCTGCTGGAACGGAAACTCTATGGGTACCAGGCCCAGCACTATGTCTGCATGAAGCATGTTGATGGCATCTGCACCTGGTACCGGGGCCACCTACACCTCCGGAAGGAATATGTTGACATCATCCAGCCCTAGTAGGGACCAATGACCACTTTGGAAGAGTCCTGAAGATCAAGCCAGGCCTCTGCGGTACTCTGACCATCACCACCTGCCATGTTGCTGCCAGACAATAGGAAGTGACAAATGGGTGGCCTGGCCAGCATCATGGCAGTTGTGTCCACATCTCCAGCTTACAACTTATCAAGAGCTGGGGAAAGTAGTATGACTTAGCTGCCTTGCCCTCAATCCCTCTCCCATGTCTCCTAAACCTTGGTAGTCTAGTTTGTACCTATTACTCAGAGATTTTATTCTGTCTTAGTTTTAGAGAAAATGGTGGTTCCTTTTTTTAAGTAAAGGAGAAAGAAGCTGTGAGTGTTGTAAGACAGTACAACCCTGTGATGTATGCTATGGAAGGAGGTGACTGTCTACTGAGTGGGCTGGTTGGCTGAAATGAAAAGAATACACTAAAGCTCCCTATCTTCCACTCCCACTGTCTCAACTTTGCCTAATCCTCTGACACATTTTTGTCTGCTTCAAGAACACAGCCCACTCTTCCTAGTGCTCTGCAAGTCCCCTGATACTATTGCTGGCAGAAGGTCTGGCCCAGTTAGCATACATCCCTGAACAAGAAGAGACTTACTACACAAGAACAAGCAGGTTAAATATCTCTACTGCCTTCAGTTGGTGTCCAGGGATGTTCTTCAGCGTCCTTTAGGTTGCTAATGTCTTTGTTCCTACCTTAGAACTTTTTTTTTTAAGCAGAAACAAAAAGATGAAACAATAAAAGGGTAGAGGGTGGGAGAGAGAAATTGAAAAAAAAAAAAAACAACAAAACCCTATGGGAAAAAGATGCTAACAAGGAACACAGTTTGCACTTGCTTCAAGTCTTTTCAGCAGCTACCCTGCCAGATGACATAGCAGCAGACAGCTAGCTATGACTCAGAGCTAAGTCCCCTTACCTCTGTGACTTGGACTCTACCTACCAGCCCTGACAGCTCCCCAGCCTTGGTAAGTCTTTCTGGTTTGTCTAAATGGGGAAACACTGACAATGGCCTCAATGATGTATTAAGTCATAGCGCTCAACATCCCAGAACCTTTTCCTGGGAAAGTTCTGGAAAAGATGGTAGAGATCATCAGGTCTTTTGACAACTAAGGACTGTTTTTCATTTTGATATGTGGTCGGTCAGCTGGTGACAGGTGGTCAACTGGTGACAGGGCCATGTGTGCTGTGCTGGAAGAAAGTGCTGGGTTTAAATGCAATGATAGAGATCCCCTTTGGAGATGTCCCAGAACACAGCACTGGCAGTGAGTCTCCAGAGGAGAACATCCAGCAATAATCCACACCATCCTTGGGCAGAGGGTGTGGGGATGGGGAGAAAGATGGACAGTAATCTCCAGGTTGCTCCGTATGAAACATCCTCACAGCTTTCAAACAACCATTTTTCCTTTTCCTTCTGACCTTCAAGGATGAACTCAGAGGAGGCATAGGATTAACCCTTCTTTGACACAATTTGGAGGTAGTGAATGAAATGGAAGTCAGGTGGAGAATAACAGAAGTAACAGCTTCTATCTCAGGAGGCTTTATACCCACCAGAGGGCTATTACTTGTGGAATTTCTTTGAAACCATATGCATGCTGTATCCGATATATCCCAGTCAAGGGCAACTATGCCCACTTGGCATGACTGAGAAATTGACATACAGTGAGAGAATGTAACAATCTCAGAGACACATGGCAAAACTAGAGCTATATTCAAAATTGTGAAACCTCCTAATTGTTGATTCGCAGATTTGTTGCTCTCTCATTGTGTCTGCTTTTCTCTACTCTGTCCCCATAATTGGAAAACAAAAAGCTGTTGGCTACAATCTAGTAATTTTTGCAGCTCTAAGCAGCTCTGCAGCTACCTGAGCTATTGCTGAGGCCCTTGCCAGACCTCCAGAGTCACCATGTGACCAAGAGTAGGAACAGCACAGTCAAGACCCCATTTAGCCACCTACCATCTCTCGGTGGTTGGGATAGTATGTCTGCTCAATGAGTGGGAATTTCTCCCCTCCCAGGGTCTTCAAGATGGCTACCATCTGGGCAAACTGCAAGACAAGAAAGAATTTTATTTATTTATCTTCAACTTCTGGACCAGACAAAACAGTGACTTGTCAAATAAATGATAGAGCATTTTCTCTGTAGAAGACATTGTGTTAAATAAACTGACAGTACTGAGAAAGGAAAGGTACATGCAATTTCAAAGACATTCACTTTAGTAGAGGAAGGCAAAGAAAAAGCTGGTGCTCATTGAGGGCCTGCTTAATGGTTTCCACCCAATCTTCTTTTGAAGTTGACAAGGCTGAGAAGGGGTAGTGAACTTCACCAGAATCACAGAAATGGGGCTGGGGGAGTGGTACATATCTGTAATCTCAGCACTCAGTAGAGGCAGGAGGATGATGAGTCTGAGGCCAACCTGGGCTACAGAGTGTGAGCTCCAGGCCATTGTGTTGGACTAAATGATAAAACAGTACCCCCAAGAAAAAAATCAATAATATAACTGAAAAGAGGTGAAGCTAGGATTGAAAATTGAACTCTAACTCCAAATACATACTCTTCTGAGTAATGGCGCAAGATAAAGCTGAAGAGGTAACGTGCCAAGTCTCAGAAGTTCTAACACCAGGCAAAGAAATAAATGACAACCCTCCCATGTGCTATACAGGGCCATCAGAGTCTGCACAAGAGGTGACATGAATGTTCTTCAGGAAGACTGGAGGGTCGCAGTGGTAAAACATATAGATCCATCTTCCTGGTACTGACTTGCTGGAATTACAAGAACTGAACTTTCTAGACCCTTTATTCACAGTGTTGGGGCTGAGAGGCTTCTGGTACATGCCCAGCATTTCTTGCCCTTTCGAAAACAAAGACTAAGAACACAGAGGCTAGCTTCCTGAGGTCACACTCTTGAGCAAGGGTCACTGCCAGCCAGATCCTTCATTCCCAATCTATTTCTCCCAAATCTTTTGAGTATCTACTTTTCAGATTCTACAGAGGCCATGCACTTCTCAAGGGAAACAGATCTTTCCCATGTACTCCACATTTATCCCATGATGCCAACCCCAATGCATGGGTAGCAGGGGAAATCTAGCATCTTCTCTCTAGTGGGCTCAGTTCAGATTCCAAACCACTAATAACATGGTCAGCTACAAGGGAGAGTTGTTGGACCAACCCTGCCCTCCTCTTGTCAGAGACAGGAAAGCTAGGACATTTTCTCCCAAAGTTCAGGTCCCATTCCTTGTAAGAGGTCTTAGTGTATGAGCTATTTAGGGATGGTTATTAGCAAAATGGAGTTCCCAGGTGTTTTCCTCTTAACTCATTAGCTGCCTTTGGACAAAAGGTCCCTCCTTCAAGGGTCCATTCCTTCAGCTTCTCACACAGTGCATTAGGAAGAACATCTTTTATTTAATTTCCCTTGAACTCCTCCATCAGAATGTGGTCCTTTTGTGGGGAACTGGTAACTTCAGATGTCTAAGTCTTCCTTTAGAATTGTTGAGACTTCTGTCTCCACACCAGATCTGAGGAGACAGGCTAGGGAAGCCTGGGAGCCTACCTGGTATTGAAGCTACGCTGGGAGAGTGTCCAGGTTTCTTTACTCCCTGCCCACTGCATCCTCTATTGTTCTCTGTTTACTTCTCATCCCTGGATTCTTCAGTTTGCTCCGACTGACCCTCAGCCCCTTCTTTCCTTCCCTCCTTCCTTCTCCAGTTCTTCTTACTACCTCACCTGATCTTCAGATCTACCTGCCCACCTGGACCTGGCAGGGCTCCTCTTCTGCCTAGGCTTCTGAGGCTTCTCCAGCATCCCCAGGGAGCTGATGCCAGCTCTGCCTAAAGACCTCTGTCCTGCTACAGCCCACACTCTGGCATGACACCAAGACAAGTGGGGCCCTATCTTCCCTACGTGTGGGTGAGTTACACAGACAACTACATGGATGCCAAGAAGGCCTCCGGCAGACTCCCAGAGCCCTGGGACAGCCAAGACTAAAATGACAGCCAGTTCCCAGGCTCCAGTTGGGTCCCTGAGAGCCCACTCTACCCTCCCTACCCCATCCCCTGTCTGATTAATGGACTGGACTTGGCATCAAACCTCTGCCTCCCTGGAAACTTAGATTAAGTCGCAAGTACACAGTTACCAATTAAACAAAGGTAATATCTGATAAGGGCTATTTCCTCTATGCAGACCAAAAAAAAAAAAAAAAAAAAAAAAAATGAATCTAAGAGCTGGTGTGGTATTGGCTGTGAATAGAAAGATGCTTATTTAAACTACTTACCTAATGACTCAAGTAATTCATTAAAGAAATGGGAGTTTGTATTTAAATAATGTGATATCCCTGACTCTCCTAGATATTAAATGTTTTTGTTTAACTCAGGCCTATCAATCTCCAAATAACCCAGAATTCAGCTACAATGGAGCAAATGGGGATGGTGGTATTCTTGCTTTCTCTGGATTTCTGCTTCCATTGACAGAACTATTTCTCTTTCTGAAATCCCAGTGGCTGCCCTGGCCAATTCTGGAGACAGCAGACTTGCTCAGAGCCATTCTGGTGTAAGGGATAGCCTTCTCTAGCCCACTGGATGCCTCTCCTAACATCAAGAACACCCACAGTAAGAAATTTAGGAAACATGAGCTAAAGTTATCATATCAGAGGGACACTCCCCTCACCATCAATGTGTCCACTTTCACTAACAAACTGAGAACAACATGTAAAATGTCATTTGTACAGCAGCTGCTTAGTGAGACTGCAGGGAGAACTTGGTGTGTGGCCAGCAAGCCCTGTTGTTCTCATGCAACGCCAAAGGCAATGTGCTGGGATTGTGAATGGGTGAGAATGTGACCCCTCACCAGATCCCAGATCCCGTGAGGGATCTTTCTGTTCCTCCCTTCTCTAGCCTCTGCCACAGTTTAGGAAAAGAAAGCATGGGACCATTTTCTTTAGGAGGCCTCAGATACCAGGGAACTATAATAACCACATTGGCAAAGTAATGGCATATACTATTAGTTACAGTTTGTAGACACCAAAACTGGAACACAAAAGATGGTTAGTCACAGGGCTGTGTCATTAAATTACTCAGTAAAAGCTGATACCAGTGGCATCACCTTGGGTAGCTATGAGAACCAATTCTGACAGGAAGTGGGGAGGGGGTGGGTTAGAGCACATTTCAGGAGGAAGATCATGTGACTGAGAAGAAATGGGAGGTTCCTAGAAAAGAACTTTGATAGATGTCTCATATATGTTTTTTGAGATAGGCCTCACTCAAATCACAACACCCTTTCAGCCAATTTCTGCAGAACAGTAGGGTTCCAGATGTCACAGGGCCACACACAGGGGAAAGCCACAAGTGAAGCTTTGGAACCCAAGCTCTCCTTAACCACAACAGCTCTCAAACCTCCTCCTCCACACCTCTTCCTCCCACACTGCAAGGTCTCTGTGGTACCCAGGGAACAGGAAAGCTGTCCATTTGAGTGTTGAAGAACAAAAATCAATAGCACAGTTAATGGACCCATGTGGTTATAGAATACCCCTCTGACTTCCAGATCGGAGAGGGTTAAGGTTCAGAAATGTCACAATAAGTCTGGTGAGCCTTGGCAATCTAGCATGTGTGAAATTTGATTTTTGAAAAACAAGAAGATGAAGAATAATTAGGAGCAAGCATTTCCTTCCATGAGGCCAGCCTGGGGCATCAGAACTAGCAGAGAAAAGTCCCCAGTCATCCTAGGACCCCGTGCTTTCAGTACTTTCCACAGTCCTCCAAGGTTTCTAGACTGGCTGTGGAAGAGGAAACCAAGCCAGCTCTTCACTTCATAAAGAGACAATGTGATATACAAAGATTCTGGCTCCATAAATTTGGCAAGTGACTTAATCCTTCCTGGGTCTTATTGCTCTGTACAAAAGTGAAAATAATAATACCTTTCTGGTAAGCTTATCATGAAGATTAAATGAAATTACATAGAACAATCTCAGAGAGTGGCACCAAACAGCAAGAGGTTTTATGCACCTCATTTTCTTTTTTCTTCCCATGAATAGGTAAGACTTCAGCACCTCAAAGGAAATGTCAAGTTCCCACCAACTGCCAGGTTCATGTGTGTGGATGAATCTGACTTTGAGGTTGTTGAAATGCTGGTAGAACTCTGTTTCTAATACCCTCCTGAATTGGTTTCTCTATCGGCTTTAAGTCCTTCCAATAGTTTACCCATTTTAAGAGGCAGGCACGTTTATCACTATGGTGCCTGGTCAAGGAAAGTCCCATGGACCTGTAAGGATTTTGTCACAGGATCTGTGAGCAGCATGGTGGAGAGATCAGAGGTCTATTCTACAGCAGGAGTGTGCAACCCAGGGCATCTGGTAACTGCTATTGTGGTGGCCTACCCCACCCAGCCTGCCAGTGCCCAAGCCTCAGACCTCAGTTGATGCTACTAATGGAGTGCTGGAAGTGGAAGTGGGGGAAAAGATGTCTTACCACCCATGGCTTGTCACAGAAGTTGTAAATGGATTCCAGTGAGTTGATGCTGGGGAGGCCTGCATACTGCATGCCAATGATCAGGTGGCGGAAGTCCTCATTCTCCGCCATGCCAAAGGCATGCTGTCGGATGAGCACAAAGTCTGGTCTGAAGGACCTGGTGAGAATACACAGGCAGGTTTCCATTAGGTAGTACCTCAAGTGACATATTTTCAAAGCCTAAGACAGAAGAGTTGTCAAGGACCACCCAGTCCATGACCCTTGTGTTACTACTCCTTTCTGGATGGGGTAATAAAATATCATGACTCTTTCCAATGGAGATCTGAGAATTGTGTTTCTGAATCCATCCCATTCCTTTGAACTAAATGCTGTCTTTTTCTAGCATACATTTAGAGCCCCACACCTTAAGTGAGAGAGATTTTTCTCTTTCTTCATGGGGTGGTATGAAAGCCTGAATCTCCTGTGCTTCCAGAGTTGATGCTCAAGTCAGGTCCTGGAAGACCACACTGCTACCCGATCTTTGATCTTAACATACTTTGACTTTCTTACAGCTGCTCCTTAAAATAGGCAATGCCCTCATTGGGCCCCAGGAGAGCAAGGCACTAGGCTGGCCGAGGGCAGATGCCAAACTTCCCAATGTTGTTCTTCCAAAACGGACGCTAGGGAGGGGTGCAAATATTTTTCGCAGAACTGAGGTTGAGCAACGGAGCTTCAGGAAGCACTGAGTACGGAATGTTCCCATGCATGGGAAAGCTTCCCTGCTTTCACCTCTAGCCAGCAAAGCTCTTAGCCATAGCTGCTTTAGAGGACTAGGTTGCCTGTCTTCATGCCCTAGCTTCAGAGACCTTCCCAGAGAGGTAGTTTGTGGCAGCATCTGCCCCAAAGGCTCTGTGGCTCAGCATAACACTATGTACAATGACCTACCTGGTCCTCTGCCCAGGCACCCATCCAACCCCCACCTACAGATCCAGCCCAACCCAACTCAGAGATCAGCTCTAGTGAGGCTAAGGGAGCTTTCCTCAGTCATTAAAACACTTATTACCAAGATGGTATGACATTTGCTGAAGGTACTTTGACCTTTGTCCCAAGTTCTGGGACCTGATGTGAAGTCTAGATACCCCCCAATAGGCCTTTCTTGTTGGACACTGAAGCTCATCTGTATCCCTAACATCAAATCCCAACCTCACATCCCAGTTATAGGAACAATCCAAGTTTCCACGATGGCACCTGCCCTGGAGCCCTGCTGCTGGACCTTCTGTCACTACCTACCTATGTATGTATTTCCATGACACATTTGACCCATGGATATAGAAGCCTGTCTATCCTGCTGTAGGACTTACCTAAGCTCATTTCACACCTGAATGGGCAGCTGATTTTCTTACATTATCCTTTATATTCCAAAAAGGGTAAACCCACTTTCCTGTTGCTAGGTCCCAGACATCCCCAGCCTGGCCTTTCCTGTCAACTGCCCCCATATCCTGTTAGAAGCTAGGTTCCTAGGGGTCACGGTCCTGTGACTGAGGTGAGGAAGAGAGTGATATGGGTCCCAGACCACTCCTGGAGCAAGGCTTATTTCTGAAAGCAACATTAAGTTCCTGGGGAGAATGGGAACATTTCTCTCATCTGGAATTCCCACTTCCTCCCTGAAGGAACTGTTTTGCATATATCAACATCCCAAACTTTGAAATCACCACCTAGGTGCCCAGGACACCACCTGGCATGGAAATGCTCAGTACCTGGTCATTTTTTTTTTTTTCATTTACAGCATCTATTCCAATACTAGATTTTCCTGTCAGACACATGAATTGTTGGGAATGAGGAATAAAAAGAGGCTACAGGGTGAGTGTCAAAAAGACATGCATCCAGAACAAGGCTTTGCTGCCAACTCTGAGTGAATCCAAGCAAAGCAGCATAAATAGGGATATCAGATGTTTTAAAAGGCAATGGAACCTGGTTTTCCAGGGGAACTATTTTAGGAAGACAGAAGCACAAACCCATGCTTACTTGAAGGTAGGAAGAAGTCCTAACAGAATCCAGCTATCTCTAAGTGATTCTGTGAAACTTCAGGTTACTTTCTCTATGCTGGAGTAAGATTGTAACACACAGTGGAACTATCTCAAGTTGACTGTGAAACCACCCCCATCAAGTCAGAGGTGACAGCAACCCCAAGAACAGAAAGGCCCTTACCGGACAACCTTTGTGCCATTCCGGAGCACCTGCATATCCACGGCATATGTTCCATCTGCATGGGCCACCAGGTTAAGCTCTGAAAATTCCGCCTGAACAGTAAACAGTATAGCAGCGAGCCTCAGTCCTCCACACAGCAGCCACCACAACGCCAAGCATTTATTTAGTTCCTATGTATTTTCACATCAAATTTCACCCAATACTCTAGGAAACCTTTTGAGCCAGATGGTGGAGATCACTATCCTCATCTACTCAAGGAGAAAACTGCCTGAGTTAGGTGACTTTTCTGGACTTTTCAGGAGATACCCACCACTGTGTCTCCTGACTCCCAGCTCAGCATCCTTTGAGCCTTTCTACAGGGGCAGAATGTAGGACAAGCATCTCCTTTCTCAGTCTCTGCATGAAAGCATGAGGTTCTGGGTTAGGCTACTGGGTTTCCTTCTCCCTGCCCTTGATATAGCCTGTCAAGCTAGGCAGCTAATCTGCTCAGGTTTCCATTTCCTCTGTCTCCAACACAAGGGTAGGTTTGTTTTTGTTTTTAATCAACATCTAACAAGTTGTTTTAAAAAATGGAATATAAACTGGGCATGATGATGTACCCCTTAAATCCTTGCAGTCTGGAGGTGGAGGTAGGCTGACCTCTGTAAGGTCATTTTGCAAAAATCAATCAATCAATCAATCAATCAATCAATCAATCAATGTAGATAGCCAGGAAAGTACCGTAGTGTTCTCTAAATCCTAACATGAATAAGGAATAATTTCTGTTATAACATAGAAAACATATTATTTAAATAGGACATTTCCTCCCCACAAAGGACCTAATTTTCTATTACCACGAAGCAAGAGACAGAGGAAGGTAAAATGAGCAAACAAAACAGCCTTCCAAGTTCCTTATAAGAGGGAATGTTCTTTTCTAGGTGCCCTCTGAAGTACAGCCTCAGGTCAAAGTAGGCAGACAATGAACAGAAGACATGTACCCAACCAGAATTACACTGCCACCGACAGCATGGAGGTGTGGCCACTACCCTACGAAGACACTGCTTTAAGACTTCTCGGTTTGGGGACCCTGCACTGCAGGAGACCGTGGACAACCACCTTGTTTCTGAACTGTTAAGAAAATGACAGGAGATGCAGAGTTGAGAGCCCAGTGAGGACACTGCACTCCACTGGCCAGGACTAGGTTCACTCTGGAATGACAGAGGGCTGATTACCTGTTCCACCTTGATGTCATAATCTCCAAGGACTTTTTTGCCCCGAAAACACTTGGCCCTAGAGAAAGGGAGGAGGGCATACAGATTAGTTTTGTGCAAGTGTTTGAACTCAAACAGGTACTCTCCCCAATAAGAGTTCTATAGCAGAGAGGCTTGGGTTTGGCTCTTCACTTGCTACTGTCTCAAGCAAGTTCTTTCTTTTAGCCTCAATTTACCCGCCTGCAAAATTGCCCACAGTACCCTTTCACTTTCAACCTTTTATGATTTACTCTCCTATAATCACAAACACACACAAACACACACACACGTCTAGAAACAGGAATTCTCTGTGTTGTTCTTGGTAAAGACTAGGTCAATCTTACACACTGCTGAGGTCTCCTTATCTTCTTTCTAACCTGTGTTTTACTCCATGTATAATTATCATCCACTTGTACACTTTTAGGATTTAAAGAAATTGCTATTGGACTGAGTTACATTTGGTTGAGTTGTTGGCCGAAGAGGTTCCCATGAAGAACCCCAAACAACCCAGACTGATGCTAGGACAGAGAACTGTTTCATGCAAACTGATGGGGGAGGGGGGGAAGGGGGAATTGCAAAGGACAACATTCACACATCTCATTAAGTATGGAGCTGGTGCCTCCATGGAGCCTTTACCCCTCTGTTCTAGTCTCTGGCGTAGGAAGGTACTCTGCAGGCCACTGAAAGAGAAACATGGACACCAACCCAACCACAAAACCTTCAACCTACTGGCTGCCCTATCTGCAAAATAGGCTGAGGAAATGGTGGTACAGCGATGTCTGAGTTAACCTGGGGCTCAATCCACAAGAGGGAGTCCATCCCTGACACTGCCTGAATGGCCAGGAACTGGAGACTGGATAGCCAAGAGACCAAACATGATAGGTCTAAGGTAAAAAAAATCAATGAAATGATTCCCCATAGTATCCTGTTATATTCAAAGATCAGTGCCCTGTCTAGTTGTCATCAAAAAGGCTTCCTCCAACAGTAGATGGGAGCTGATGCTGAGACCCACATCCAGACTTGTGGAAAGAAAGTCTAAATCGGAGGTCTTCATTGCTTCCCTCCCCTCATAGCTCAGGAAATCCCTGTGAAGAGGTGGCAGAAAGATTGTACCAGTCAACTGGGGGGGGGGGAGGGGAGAACATAGCCCACTGAACCAAGAAAGCATATGGGCGCATATGGGCGCATAGGTGCACAGAGACTGCAGTGGCAAGCATGGGTCTTCATCAGGTCCTCTGCATGTATGTTGTGATTGTTAGCTTGGTGTTTTTGTGAAACAGCTAACTGTGGGAGTGGGTGTATCTGATAACTGCTCTTGGGACTCTTCCTCCTAGTGGGTTGCCTTGTCCAGCTTCACTATGAAGGCCTTTGCCTTGTCTTATTGTGTCTTGTTTTGTCATATTTGGCTGTTGTCTCTATGAGGCCTGCTCTTTTCTGATGGGAGATGGGAGGGGCACTGGGGGACAGGGGGAAGGGGAGGGAGCTGGAAAGGGGAGGGAGGGGAAATGTGGTCAGGATGAATTGTATGAGAGAAAAACTTTTCAATGACAACAATAAAAGCTGGCATCGCTATCAGAACTGCTTTCTTGATGCTGCTTTCTGCCTTCGTGTCTCAAACTAAAAGGAAATCCCTCTTGATTTCTTCATATACACACCAGGATAGCCAACAACCAAGGCAAGCAACTGCAACTGAGCATAATACTTATCTTGTATCACAGACACTCAAGAAAATGAGTTAAGCTGAGTCATGCAGCTCAGTATCTTCCCAACCTACCAGGGTTGAGAGGAACTTCACCTTGATGCATGAAGGTATCAGGCCTATGTGAGGAGACCACATTCTTGCACAAGTTTACATTTCTTTTTTCCTGGCTTCTAATTTTTCTTCCATCTGTAGGGTTTTTCCTTCTTTGCCCATTTAGGCTTGTAAAACAAAGGGGGGGGGCTGATTACCTGTGCCTACTAGGCTAAATCATGACTGCTTATCTCAGTGTTCTCCATTTCCAACTGGCTGTTTTCATTGGAGGTTTTCTAAATCTCTCTCCAAATAAAGGAATACACTGGTATTTCATTTGCCATTGTGGTCTAGGAGCTGTATGCTAGTTGCTTCTAAGAATATTATGTTTAATTCTCATAATGACTGACCAGACAGGGAGAAATTTCTTTGAAACAAAGGAATTCAGAATTCACAGGAATAAAATGACATTTCCAAGGTCATTGGCAAGTTTGATGCAGCCACAAAGGACAGTGAGTGCAGTGCCCCCATGCCACACAGCATCATCTCCCTCTGCTGACCTGTTCTTCCCACTTTCCCACACTATGGTAACTGACTTACCACATGTGGTACACTGATTTCTTTTTTCCAGTTTTCTTCTTCTACTCAAAAGAGACTTAATGATGCTATGAGTACTTGTCCCACTACAAATACTTCCTATCCTGGTTCCTGTCAACTTACTCAGGATGAGGCCAGGCTATTTCCTTTTGCTCTATGGATTCTGGAACAGCCCGTTCTAGGAAGTTGTCATTTGTACTACCCAAGTCCCTGGCCACCCTGAAATTGCTCCTCTGAGGCACTGGGCCATCCTGGAGCTAGATCACTGAAGTCCAGCCCCCCACCTCTGCCCTAATTTCTTCCTAAGTTTCACATCAGCTTACTCCCAGGACCCTGATCAACATTCACAGCCCAGCAAGCCCCTCAGTCAGGGGCTCTGTAGCACATGCGTCTCTCTTAGCATTTGTGTCTATACATGGCACTGTCACTGCTCTGCAGATACTGGACTTTCAGTCTTTTGCTCATGATTATAACCAGACAGAACTAGAGTAAATGACCTACACGGTAGCGTTTCTCTGGTTGTATGCCTACATTGTTATCAGAACTGCTTTCTTGATGCTGCTTCCTTCCTTTGTGTCTCAAGTAATTTTTCTGCAAGATTAGCCTCAGAAGCCTCAATCGTAGCCTTTCATTCTGTAGGAAGATCATCATTTTCAAAGTACATTCTTTGACACATTAGTTTCTCACAACTCTGTGAAGGAGCCGAGAGAGAGAATGTTTGCTATCCATCGGACTGCTGGGAAAACTGAAACTCCAAACAGGTCAACAGCATGCCGTCTCACAGAAAACATCATGAGTTAAGCTGAGAACTGGAAGTTTGCATCTAGATATTCACACATTGCCAAGTTTTCTAACTTGCCCATTTATTTTGTGGGTACATTTATAGATCTTGGCTCGGTTTATCTGTCACTTCCTGCACCTGCCCATTGACCAAATTGGCTAATGAAACTGTTTTCATGCCTTTCCTCTACCCCAATGCTGCAAGTTATCCTAATGCCTTTTCCTTAAGGTAATTTGACCTGTTGGAAATCACAGTTTGTGTTTCCTGGCCCAGGGTCGCTCACTTTTCTTGGCTAAGACACAGTATTATCATCATAAAAGAGCCAAGATGGCAGCAGATGAGGCACAGAGCCCTCTTCTAGAGGAGAAACACGTTTATGAAGCATCTGGCCCTTGGATATTCTGATTCATTTTCTAGAAGAAAAAAAACATGGAATAAGTTCCATAATTTGCTAGTAAATGAAAGACACTCCCTGAGCTTAAGAGGGCACTAGCAAGAAGCAGTGTGCTGGGATCCTGAGGACAGGCTCCACAGCCTCAGTCTGGGGTGTGGGTGCTGGTTGTAGCCTTCCCAGGCTGTGTGACCTTTAGGAAGGATCCTACATTTAAACGAATAATAACAAAGTTGTTTATGGCTAAACCATTTGACCAGTCTGTACACAAAAATACATAAAAGGATAAAAATGCAAATGTTCCATTTTCCCATTCATCTCTTACCAGGTAAAATTCCATTATCATTCCCGGCATGCCCTTTCAGTTGGGTGTGTGTGTGGGGGGGGGGAGGTGAGACATGACTGTATGTTCTAAACGTACATACACAGCATCTTGCTACAAAAAATTTTTGAGCTTTAATTTTCTCTCACTCAAGAGTGTGTCCCAGTGATAGTCTTTTTAGTACATGGCAGGGTGTTTGTCTTTGCTTCCCTGGTGCTACACGGTTTACATTTTAATATACAGCCATGGAACAAATGCTTTTTGAAGAATCCCTGATGCAAGAAACAGACAGAACTACAGTTCTTACAGAATTATCAAACTGCTTCCCACCCAAGAAGAGATTGTATCACACATGTTCCTGTTTTAAAGTTTGCGAAATCTACTTCACCTGCCTTGGTTTTCCCATACTGTCCCTTGCATAAGTTGGCAACAGAGTAGGTACTTAGCATTGACTTTCTGATTGGAAATCTTATAAAATAATCCAGATTTATCCCCTTGTGCTCAATCCTAAACAGAACCCAAGATGTACATCCTTGCAGCATGGTCTAAAAATATCTGTGGTGCCTGCATTGTCAATTTCCCCCTATTGTAACATTTTCTTAATATGCCTAGCAGCTGAGGATCCATGTGAGTCTAATGCCTTGCAGTTTCCTTAACGGACCAGGTAATAAACCATCTCCCCTCATTGCTAAAATGAGCAGAGGAATCTAGATATAACTCTTGTTATTCAAGGAAAAGAATATCTTTAGTGGTGCATGATGGGTGGGAAGATGGCTTGAGCCCAGAAGTCTGAGACCAACCTGGGCAACATATTAAGACTTTATCTCAAAACAAAAGAAAACAAAACAAATGTGGGTGGAGGAGCTAATGACACATTTAACAACTAGCAGTGAAAACTTGCTGAGAACCAAACACTGAATGTTTTATGTATTTTATCATATTTAATAATATCTGACCTCCAGATGCTATGAAGGGAATTGCAGTTATGGAAATGAAATAAGAGAAGGTAATGGAGGTGTGTGAATATGGTCAGAACACATATACATGTGTGAAAGTTTCATGACAAAACCAATTATTAATATAATTAATATATACTCATTAAAATAGAATTTTAAAAGGGAATGAAATCAGATGGAAGTGTTTAGAAGCTCCAAAATACTATGGAAATGTGAAATACTGTTAGAAAAGATAGCAAATATTGTTTTGTATTAATATAG